TGTGCCCAGATTGTTCGCGAGGACCGCAGCATGGAGCAGATTGTGTTTCCCGTTCATCCCATCTGTGAGTTTCTGACAGAGGAGTCAAAGATCAGGGTGTTCAACACCACCGAGCTGGACGAGCAGGGATCCAAAGTCACACATTTCTTCGAGCAAACATCCTTCCTGCACGGAGAAATGGAGTGGCAGAAGAAGCTGAGGAGTGAGTACACACACTCAGTGTGATCTGTAAAGGTTTCGTTCGTGTGAGCCAGCTGCTCACATCAACTCTACTTTTGCTCAACATATAAAAACCCAACAGCGTGTTCAGGCTCAACATGTGTTTGTGCAGGTATGCCAGTGTTGTACTGGTTCTCCAGAAGAATGACTCTGTGGGGAACAATCTCCTTTAAACTTGCCCTCTTCGTCAACCTCATCATCGCTTTCTTCTACCCCTACGACTCCGGACAAGGTACTACTGCAAGTACTGATAGATCTGAAAATACTACTAAACACACGAACACTGTCATTTCATTTTTGTCATCATCTGTAGAAAGTGTGGAGGACTGGTCGAGGTGAGGATGTGGCGCTTAAAACGATGCTCTTCTCCTCTGTAGGTGCGATCGACGACTCTCTGTTGTTGATGCTGTTCTGGGTCCTGGTCGGTCTCTCCATCCTGGGTTTGTTCTCTCAGCGTGCTCTCACGCCGTTCACCGTCGCTCTGATCCTCAGGTCCATCTACCACCTAGGCATTGGCAACACGCTAATAGTGCTGGGAACGCTTAATGTGAGAAAACACCACATTACACATCTGCACCCTGGGTTTGATTAGCTTAGCATGGCTTGGTACCCGTTTTAAATATTTAAACTCTTGATTCACAGTTTACATTTCTAGGTTTTATTCAGAGTTGATGAAGATTTTTTCTTTTTAAAAATCAAAATGATGATTTCATGATTTTTTTAGTTAAGTTTGGTGATCAGTGAACTGGTCAGTTAAAAAATATAAACTGTGAAGACACTGAATACACTTATCAGATGTGACTGTGACTAAAATAAAAATATTCTCCTGTTCTTTTTGAGCTCTAGATTTGAATTGTGGTTCTAGAGTAGAACATTCTAGATCAGAGGTGTCAAACATATGGCCCGAGGGCCGGAATCAGGCCTTGGTTTATTATTAAAGGCCGGTCTGGGCAATGAGCTAGCACTCTTTGGTAACAACACCTCCAGCCTGATCATCCACTGTGCTGTCCATGTTTTGTCCATTTCCAGCTCATCAATAAAGTGGTGTTTGTGGTGAGTTTTGTGGGAAACAACGGCACATTTATTATGGGGTACAAGGCCATGGTGATGGATGTGGAGTTCCTCTATCACCTGGCATACGTCCTGACGTCCACACTGGGACTCTTCGTTCACGAGCTCTTCTACAGCATCCTGGTAAACAGCAGCCACAGTGACCCGTCAGGTGTTTGTGCCGTTTGTGGTAGGAAGGAAAATCTAAGTGTCTGTGTTCATTTCGGGCAGCTTTTTGACCTGATCTACAGGGAGGAGACCCTGTTAAATGTGATAAACAGCGTGACGCGTAACGGGCGCTCCATCCTGCTCACGGCACTGCTCGCTCTCATCCTCGTGTACCTCTTCTCCATTGTGGGCTTCCTCTTCCTGAAGGAGGACTTCATTATGGAGGTCGACCCGCTGGCACAGATTGCTGCAGGTAAATTCACAGCTGTTAAAATTAACCCTCATACCAAAACCTTAATCGGTACTAGTTACTGTCTCCTGTTCAGCTTCTCAAAATAGTGAAGCCTCTCAGGATTTCCTCAAGTCGTGCTCTGCAGACGGAGTCAGCTGCACTGCAGAGACCAACACTGAAGAGGAAGGTAAGAGACAGACACATCACTAGATGGTTACTGACAGTAGTCGGTTTTTGCAACATATATTAGAAAACAACTCTTTTAGCTAACTAAAATAGATACAATTATCCAATTTCCACCACTTACTGGAGTCCCAGTATAGACAGGGAGCTAAATATCTCCAACTAGATAATTGACAGTTTAAAATGTTCTTTATCCACAGTTGCAAATACAAAAATATGTTTTGGAGCTGTTAAACGGGAAATGGGCGTGTTCTTATATGGCGCTTTTTTTACTCTACTGGAGCAAAGTTTTGTAAAGCTGGTGAGGATGCAATACCAGCGTTAAGATGCATTAAGTCATCATGTGGTTTGGATTTGAGGAGGATGTAGAACAAAATGGGGTAAATTGCAAAACATGCCGAAAAGTCATCCACTGCAAAATTAAGACTGTTTTTAACTCTGCATGTGAACATCTCCCCACGCCAAAGCTATCGGCGAGAGAAATGGAGGAAAATGGTTAAGGTTACTTTATTTATAGCCAGAGGTAAATTTGCTTTACAGAAAAATGATAGCATTGGGTTAGTGGCATGTGAAAGTCTGATTCCATGTTAATGCTTATCGAATGTGAAGCATATTTGTAGCTGGTTCAGTGAAATGTGGTCGAAATGTGACGAAACTTGCAGTTGTGGAATCTGTGAGATCTCAGCTTTTAGACACTGTGCCGTTTGTTTGGTTACATGAAGTCGAGTGAGTTCATGGCTTTGTCATTTGTGTTATTCATATTTCATGATGTTACTTTACTGCTCTTTTAATTGTTTGTTGTTTTGGCTGTTTGGTGGTTGTAGAAATGGTGTTTATGAGCGTTTAGATTATATTCTCAGGTTTCGTGGTGATATTTATATAAAAACCTTGACTTTAGGGAGGGTATCACGATATCCCAAAAATATTGCAATATTAGATTTTCCTCATGTCGCCCAGCCCTAGTGGAAGCCACCATGAAACTCACAATGACCTGGCTAAACATCAATATCAGCTGCATATAAGCTAACATTGTGCCAGCTAATTTTAGCTGAGTGTTCAAAACTAAAAAAATGAAATAAAATAAAAATCACACTTTCCCACTCAAAACTCGTTTGATTATATTTTCACATCATACAAAAAGTTATTCAGAAAGTGTCAGAGACCAACAATGTTAGATCCACTTCAAGGACAGCCAGCTAACAACAGCTAACAGGGGCAGATAGCGTTTAAATCTTCAACATATCCTCAATAACTCACGTAGTATCGCTGTCATTGGTCAGAAATGAGCGTCACTCACTTACAGACTCGTATCACAAAGTTTTAAAGGCTAGAGTAAATGTGGATGCTTCTTATGCGGCATTGACAGCTGAGGTAAACCGTGCACTGACAGCCTCTAAAAAAGGAATCTCTGGGCTGGATACAGATCCACTCCAAACAGTAGTAGAAATATGCCAGGAAGGCAGTTATGGTTTAAATACTAAGTTTAATATTTTTGGTCTCTTTTGCTCCACTAAAACATGTTTGTGCTATAACAGCCACCATAGCTGGGATTATACACTAAACAGAACTAGTGGTGAAAGTTTTTACACACC